ACATAACATTCATCATCTTCATTTATAGCATTGATCTAAAAAAAAAATAAATAAAACTTAAATTGATAAATTGGTTATACTAGCTATGTGTATNAGCTTTTCAAAATCAAAATTTGACATCTAGTTCTTCTGCAATTCAACAAAAATTGTTCTCATGCTAACATTGTCCAGTGCCAATGTGCCAATGATGCCATAACATTAGCAATACCATTGTGGTAATTTCCATCGATATTTCTATATTTACTTGCAGACAAAGCCAATGTCCATTTACATTTTGAAAAGTGATACAGATAAAGCTTTTTTGGCTAAGTTTGAAATACATTTTCATACCTGTTCTTCTACTTGACTAGAGGAGCCAGTTGTTCCACAACCAAATAATTCTCGACGTAATAAATTACCATCATATTCTAAAAATGTTAAATACATATTCCTAAAAAATTCTACATGTTTATTCTTGACTTTCATCTTTCTGGGAGAATTCCAATGAATAATCTGAAAAATACCAAAAAGAATTTGCATATAAAAACAGAAATGTTATATCAAGCGGAATTGGGCATTGGTTCAAATGAATGACTGCTAAAGAAAAATCATTCAATACTTATAATTCTGCTTAGCATATCATTACTGCCTTGTACATTCCACTGACATGGTAGCTTTAATACAGAGCTACAGAACTTACCTTTAAATCTGATACCTCACTATAAAAATATTCTGATCTAGTTTTAAACATGGTAGCTTTAATACAGAGCTACAGAACTTACCTTTAAATCTGATACCTCACTATAAAAATGTTCTGATCTAGTTTTAAACATGGTAGCTTTAATACAGAGCTACAGAACTTACCTTTAAATCTGATACCTCACTATAAAAATGTTCTGATCTAGTTTTAAACATGGTAGCTTTAATACAGAGCTACAGAAATTACCTTTAAATCTGATACCTCACTATAAAATTATTCTGATCTAGTTTTAAACATGGTAGCTTTAATACAGAGCTACAGAACTTACCTTTAAATCTGATACCTCACTATAAAAATGTTCTGATCTAGTTTTAAACATGGTAGCTTTAATACTGAGCTACAGAACTTATCTTTAAATCTGATACCTCACTATAACAATATTCTGATCTAGTTTCTAACATGGTAGCTTTAATACAGAGCTACAGAACTTACCTTTAAATCTGATACCTCACTATAACAATATTCTGATCTAGTTTCTAATATGGTAGCTTTAATACAGAGCTACAGAACTTATCTTTAAATCTGATACCTCACTATAACAATATTCTGATCTAGTTTGTAACATGGTAGCTTTAATACAGAGCTACATAACTTACCTTTAAATCTGATACCTCACTATAACAATATTCTGATCTAGTTTCTAACATGGTAGCTTTAATGCAGAGCTACAGAACTTACCTTTAAATCTGATACCTCACTATAACAATATTCTGATCTAGTTTCTAACATGGTAGCTTTAATACAGAGCTGCAGAACTTACCTTTAAATCTGATACCTCACTGTAACAATATTCCGATCTAGTTTCTAACATGGTAGCTTTAATACAGAGCTACAGAACTTACCTTTAAATCTGATACCTCACTGTAACAATATTCCGATCTAGTTTCTAACATGGTAGCTTTAATACAGAGCTACAGAACTTACCTTTAAATCTGATACCTCACTATAAAAATATTCTGATCTAGTTTCTAACATGGTAGCTTTAATACAGAGCTACAGAAATTACCTTTAAATTTGATACCTCACTATAAAAATATTCTGATCCAGTTTCTAACATGGTAGCTTTAATACAGAGCTACAGAAATTACCTTTAAATCTGATACCTCACTATAACAATATTCTGATCTAGTTTCTAATATGGTAGCTTTAATACAGAGCTACAG